TACCCAGTGCCCTGTCCCCAAAGGGCGTGAGACTGAAGCTATTAGCCCACAGGACATTGAATGCATTATGGAAGGCGGAGGGTTCTGGAGGGTTTGGGGGGGATGTCCAGGTGTCCCACCTCCCTGCGTGGTGTCATTGGCTCTGTACAGGTTGTGAGCCACCACATGTCCCCATTGGCAGGTCAGGGACCTCTACCTGGTGGGCATGATGGAGGTGGACCACCATGGGAAGAGGAAGAGCGACGCCCGGCTCAGCACCGGTAGGAGCAGCCAGTCCTGCCCCATCCCTCCCAGCTGCCCATGCCCACGTGGCCACTGCCCTGATTTTCCTCCCCATCCTTGTTTCTTGTTCCCTGGCCTGTGTCCAGCAGGCTGTCCTGGTGACACCAATGGTTTCTATCCCCTCTGCTTGTGGCCCACGTGGGGACCCTGCTGCCTTGTGGGGAGGAGGCTGTGCCCCTCCAGGCTGCACAGATGATGAAATATTGACAGATGCTTTCCCAGCATAGTTATTGAGACTCGTGGGGAGGGTTGGAGGGTTGTGGGGGACAGGGGGTGTCTCAGGTTGCTCCCATGGGATCCCTTTCCCCTTAAAGCATGGAGTCTGAGGCAGGAGGTGGACTGGGGGGGTGTCCCCCGTCTCTGCCTCCCCAGTGGCCCCTGGAGCTGTGTGTGAAGAGCTGCTGAGCTGGTGCCAGGCCAGCACAGCTGGATACCCCGGCGTGGCCGTGACCAACTTCAGCACCTCCTGGACCAGTGGCTTGGCCCTCTGTGCCCTCATCCACCGCTTCCGCCCCGACCTGGTGTGAGTGCCCGGAGCCCCCAGGACCCTCCACCCTGCAGAGCCCACCCTGATGCAGCCATGTCTCCCCACAGGGACTTTGACTCCGTGGACCCCCAGGATGCCATTCAGACCCACCAGATGCTGCTGGATATAGCAGAGCAGGAGCTGGGCATCCAGCCTGTCCTCTCCAGTGCTGAGATGGCCACCCTGACAGAGCCTGACTGCCTGGACCTCATCACCTACCTCAGCCACTTCTACCAAATTTTTGGGACCTCTCCAGGTGTGATATTTTGGGGGGATTTGTCCCATCCTGAGCTGCACTGGGGCTGGCTGGGTCCCACCAAAATGGCCATGTCCTGTGCAGAGGCGGAGGTCAGCAAGAAGCCACTGTCTCCCCCTGGCACACGAGGGGCCATCCTCTTCCTCAGCAAGCTGCAGAAGAGCCGGAACCTGGCACACAAACGTAGCCAGGTGAGGGACCCCCACCCAGACCCTCCTGGCACACCAAACCCACAACACTCCCCACTCTTACCACCCCTGTGGGTTTGCAGGACGGTGCCCAGAAGGACAGCGAGGCCAAGAGGAGCCGCAGGGACGCTGAGGTGGGGCTGCCCCAGGGGGGCTCTGCTGGGTGCAGCTGGCCTGGGGGGACAGTGGGGGGCTGACCCTGCCCTTGGGTCACTTGTAGCTGGACACGGGGCTGGATGGAGACACTCCGGACAGCGCCCACGAGCTGCCACACGCCACCGGCATGGAGCCAGGGCAGGTTGGTCCTTGTGTCCCCTTGGGATGGAGGCTCCAGCTCAGGGCAGGGGGGCACCGGGAGGGCACCGGTGGCTGGCAGGGCCGAGCCAAGGGCTGGCACGGAGCTGCACAAGCGAACGCCCACAGGTTCTCAGCTCCTCCCTGCCTCTTTCCTGACCCAACTGGTTTTCCAGAGCCGAGGCTTGCCGCTCCCTCAGCCATCCCGGCAGCCGGCGCTGAGAGAGGGGCACGGCCCTGCCCTGTGCCCCCATGGCTGCTGGCACGGCCGCGGGGCACGGCGGGTGCCAGGCCCCCGGTGCCAGCCCCGCCTGTGCTGTGCCCCCGCAGCCGCCGAGGGACAGGACAGGGGAGAACAGCGACGCCTGCTACTTCTGCGGGCGCCGTGTGTACATCGTGGAGCGAGCCAGCGCCGAGGGACGCTTCTTCCACCGCGGCTGCTTCCAGTGCCGGCGCTGCGGGGCCACGCTGCGCCTGGGCGACTACGCCTTCGACGAGGAGGATGGTGAGGCAGCTCCTGGGCACGGGGGATGCTTGGGGAGCGGCTTCTCCGCCTCGCAGGTTGTCATGAGTTCACCCCCCACCCCCTCCCTGCCAGGTAACTTTTACTGCTCGCTGCACTACCCCCATCCAGCCAGCATGGACCTGCCCCGGGACGAGGCTCCGGCGCTGCCCGATGGGGTAAATCACCTTGAGTCCCTGGAGGTGCTGGGGGAAAGGCAGAATGTAGAGGGGGGTGGCTGGGTGTGGCCCTGTGCTGCATCGCCCCTTGCTCTGGCTCTGCTGCAGGATGCTGGTGCTGCTGCCCGCGCGCCCTCAGATGCTGGAACGTCGTGTGTGTCCCCCATGGAGTGGGCACCCAGCCCGCTGCTGCCCACTCCAGCAGCCCCACAGGCCGGGGAAGAGCCTGGGGACGCTGAGGACACTGCAGGTGCTGGTGACACGCGGGAGGAGCAGGAGCTGCTGGCACAGCCCGGGGAGGATGTGAGGGAACAGGAGGTTCCCAGAGCGGAGCCCCAAGGGGCAGCAGAGGAGGGTGAGGAGACTGGGGGCAGGAGGAAGATCATCCTCACACCGCTGGAGAAGCTCAGTCTGTCCACGCTGAACCTCACCAGTGAAGCTGAGCCCGAGCCCCCACTGAAGCCAGCCCGTCTGAGGCTCCCAGCAGCACCCGAGGCCCTCCCTGCCCTGCGGCAGGGACAAGGCGCCTGCAAGGAGGAGGAGGAGGAGGAGGAGGAGAAAATTGACATGGAGAAAGGTAGGTGGTACAAACTGGAGTCTCCAGGTGAGCAGAGCTCTCGGTCCCTGCAGGACCCTGCTGTATCCCACGTCTTGCTCATGAGGAACCAGCCTGAAACAGCTTTTTCTTGGGCAGATTTGGAGGACAGTGACAGCGAGGAGGGCGAGGAAGAGGAGGAGAAAGAGGAGGAGGACAAAGGCCTTGGCATTGTGAAAGACTTGGTGAGGATTTTCCCCTGGTGATGGTAGCTGGGGCTCTTGCTCCTCTCACAGAAGTCTGGCTCAGCTGTGGCTGCCCAGGCAGCAGGTGCCGCAGCGACTGAGCCCCCTGCCCGTGCCACCGTCCTTTCACAGTACCCAGACCCCCGGGAAGAGGAGAAATTCCCCACCTGGAAGCGCACCTTGGCCCGGCGGACCAGGGAGTCCCAGATGAAGAGGTTCTGCAGAGCCCAGGTAACCCCAGAGGGGACAGCCACGTCCCCAGCGCGGCACTGCACCCTGTGCCCTCTGTCCTGCTGCTGCTGGCAGGTGCTGGCCTGCAGGGGAGTGCTGCCCTTCCCTCACAGGCCATCCAGAGGCGGCTGGAGGAGATCGAGGTGACGTTCCGCGAGCTGGAGCAGCAGGGCACCAAGCTGGAGAAGCTGCTCCGGGATGAGAATGGTAAAGCCAGGGTGGGCAGAGCACTGTGACCCTGCAGGGGGGGTCTGCACCCTGCTGACCATGCCCCTGCCCTGCAGACAGCCTGGCTGACCAGCACACGCAGTGGACAAACCAGCTGCTGTACCTGGTGCAGAAGAAGAACAACCTGATGAGCGAGGAGTCGGACCTCATGATCGCGTGAGGCTTGGGAGATGCTCCCTGGCGGGTGTGGGGGCTCAGCCCACCCCAATGCCCTGCAAATTCAGTGCCCAGCACACCCTCTTCCTCCCCACAGGGTGCAGGAGCTGAAGCTGGAGGAGCAGCAGTGCCAGCTTGACGAGAAGCTCCGGAGCTACATGAACAAGGAGGGTGAGTGCCATCGCTCCCTTTGCACGGTGCAGGGAGCAGGTCAGGCTGGTGGCCTTCCCAGCTCTACTCCGGCCCCCTGCACCCACAGATGCCCTGAAGACAGCTGAGGATGAGAAGGCTGAGCAGGAGATCCTGAAGCAGCTGGTGGAGGTGGTGAACAAGCGGAACATCCTCATCCAGCTGCAGGAGGAGAAGCGGCTCAGCGAGCTCCGCGCTTGACCCGCACGGCCCCGGGGCCACCAGTGCTCCCTGGGGACCAGCAGAGTGTGAGTGAGTGAGTCCTGGGCTGGGCACCACCCTGAGCTACCTCTGGAGGTGGCGATGCCCCAGGTGCCAGCAGCTGCCACAGCAAATCCAGCTCCCTGCTTGCCAAAGTCTGTCACAGAGGGGCCAGAGCCGCTGGAGGATGCCCGTGTGAGGAGACACCGAGCAGCACTCAGCCCTGGGGTGCTGAGAGGGTGTTCCTGTGCATGGCTGGAGTGCCTTTGCCTTGTGCTGGCTGGAAAACTCTCAGGGGACTGCAAAAGGGGGCTGTGGTGGCTCCCAGCAGCAAGGAGGTGACTGGCCACCAGAGACAGATGCCATATGTGCAGGGGCACCTTCAGGAATGGTGCCCCAAAGCCACCCTGGGACATCCATCCCAGCTGAGGGCATCCATCCCAGTCTGGACCGTCCATCTCAAGGGACATCTGCCTGTACAAGCTGGGACCAGTGACAGACTGGGCTGCTCTGCACCTCTGCTTTTGGATGCCACGTCCACGCTGCCCCCAGCTGCTGCAGGAAACCAAGGTCAGAACTCTACCATGAGCCCCCTGGGGCAGGGAAGGGCTTTTTGTGCTGGAATTCCTATGGGAATTGTGCTCAGGGCCAACACTCTAACACCAAGGACAAGGGACGCCAGTGGCTGTGCCCTCCTTGCCCCTTTGGGATTTCTTCTGCCTGGCAATGCCACACTGGCCTTTGCACAGACCTCAGATGCCCCTGCAGTCCCTGGCTGTTGCCTCTGTGGGCAAATGATGCTCATGGCAGCCCAGATGTGTGGGGATGGGGGTCTCAGGTTCCTCTCTCAGCCCTCACCCTGTGCTCAGCCCTCATCCTGCCATTTCCCTCAGCACCTCCTCCAGCCCTCCCTGTGCTTGTACCAGCCCTACAATCCTGCTGCAAACCCCCTCCCTTCAAATAAAGCCCCCCGTTCAGGTGCCAAAGGTTAAAATATTGCCTTTATTTTCCATCAGTTAGGACTGGTTGCCAGAACAGCCACCAGTGTAAACTTTGAGGCCACCCCAGGCAAGGGGAGCCTCAGTCTCTCAAGCCTTCCAGCCAGGCCAGTGGGTCCCTCCATGTACAAAATAGTGTATTTAAAAAGACAGCAATAAAAATCTGCCTCCATTGTGGTTCTCACAGGGGTCAGTGGAATAAATCCACCCCAAAAACCTTAATTTCCCCCAGGAGGCAGCTGCCAAACCTGCACTACTGCATTGGCTGCAGTGCTGCTGGCCTAAGACCCGAAGTCAGCTAAAAACAAGGATGAAAAAGGGGACGCGGTGTGGCCAAGGGGACATTGTGGGACACCCAGAGCCCCAGCTCAGCCCTCACTGGGACGCTCCTGCAGGGCCCTCAGCACCATCCACATCTGGTCCTCGGTGCCGTGCAGCATCTTCACCTCCATGGTGCGGAACAGGTGGAGAGCGGTGGCGAGGACGAGGACGCCGAGGGCGAGGAAGGCCAGCAGGCAGAAGGAGAGCTTGGGGAAGGGCTGCTCTGCGCCCAGCCCGGCCAGAGTGGCCAGGGCAGCTGCAGCCTGGAGCAGCAGCAGCAGCAGGGCCAGCACGGCCATCCTGCCCGAGGAGTAGCGCTGCCGCCGCGCCGCCCGCAGCCCCGCGCCCACCTCTGCCCGCGCCTCTGCCACCACATCTGCCAGGGCTGGGTCTGTGGGGACAGGGCCATCAGCAGGGGGGGACCCCATACACCAGCCCTAGACCCTCCCCATATCCTTCTCCCCATCCCCACCGCCCTGCAGCCCTCCACAAGGGGAAACATCCCCAAAGAGCTCCGTGCAACCCCACCAGTCCATCCACCAGCCCCCAGCACAGAGTGGATGCTGGCAGCACCCCCCCGACTCACCAGGCGTGCCAAGGGTGGCACCTGCAGGCTGCCCCTGCCTCTGGATGTGCAGCGTTGCCATCACAGCTTCATGGTCTGAGAAGGGGATGTCCGTGCCTGGGGCTCGCCCCGTGGTGGTCTTCAGCTCTTCACACTTGACCGTGAAGCTGGAGATGGCCTGGGTGAGGGGACAAGGGGGTCACAGCAGTGCCTCCCTCCCAGCCCTCCCAGCTGGTGCGCAGACACCCCTGTTACCTTGTAGAGGATGTAGTCAATGCGGATGCCCAGCGGGAAGGGCAGCAGCTCTGACTTGTCAGTGAAGCAGTTGTCAGGGACAAGGGTGCAGCCGTTCTTGCAGCCCTGAGACAGGAGCCTGGGTGAGCTGGGGGCTCTTGGTGTGCCCTGGGACCCCCCTGAGCCCCTGAGCTCACCTCAAAGCGCATGGCCTCAGCAAAGGCGTCCTGCAGCCCCGTCCAGCCACACAGCAGCCGGATGCCCACATCTTCAGGGTGCATGTTCAGGTCGCCTCCCAGCAGCACCACATCAGCTGCCTTTGAGGTGTGTCTGTGGGGACAGGGGTGGCTGTCCTTCCCTGCCCTGCCTGGGACCCCACTGGAGTGACTGGGACCTGCCCAGTGCTCCTCCACCTTATTCCTGACTGGCACTGGTGCAACGGGAGCTCTCTGCAGTGTAAGCCCCAGGGGCAGTGGTGACCACACGTGTCCTGGGGCCTGCAGGGGACACCCCACAGCTGCTCACCTGATGAACTGTGCCAGCTCCCAGGCCTGCACCAGGCGGTGGGGCAGGTAGGCGTCCTTGTCCCGGCAGTACTCGGCGTGCAGCTGGACAGAGAGGGAAAGCAAAGGGGCTCTGACTCCTGCCCTGCTCCCTGCAAACCCACCCAGCCCCTCCAAACAGTCCCTGCCAACACCTCTGTCTGTATGTCACCCCCACTGGGTGAGCCTGGGATGCTCACCTCAGTGCAAATCCAGGTAATGGGACCTCGCCCCCTGCCCTGAGTAATATTTTAATAAATCAGTGCATAGTCCAGGGCAGAAGGTGGAGAGCAGGGTTAAAGCAAAGGATCAGTAAAACAGGGGTATGGCCACTCATTCCCCTCCTCCCCATTGTTCCCCCCATGCTGAGTTCCTCCCTGGGCTGCTCACATGGGTGACGTAGACGTTGAAGATGATCCCTGAGATCTTCATAACGACGAGACCGACGGACTTGCCGCAGAACCAGTCCCCGTGCTGGAGCTGCCCAAGGGGAGGAAGGGCAGGTCAGGACTACTGAGGCTCTGTGGGGATGGACACCACGGTGCCCCGTGCCCCCCAAGCCCACCTACCATGTAGGGGTACCCGTTCAGTGAGTACTGGTAGAGGAGTGTGTCCAGGATGGGGAACCTGGAGAAGACGCAGAGGCCGCTGCCGATCACCCCGCTGTGGAGGGAGGAAGCACAGTGAGGAGATGGGGTCCCCAAAACCTCTGCCTTGCCGTAATCCTGGGCCAGGAGGACTCCCTGGGTGCCTGGATCCCAGTGTGCTCCTGTGAGCGCCCCACTGCCCAGGTGTGGGGTCTCCCACAGTGACAGAGGTGACCTAAAGGACCTGCAGCAGTCCCTGCAAGTGGCAAACCCCGAGGACATGGCCCAGCCCTGGCACTGCCCCCCAGACTGAGCTTGCCCTTCTCACCTGCGGAAGTAATGGGAGAAGGGATAAGAGCCCGCTAGTTTCGCCTTCAGCTCACTGTAGTCCTGCTCGCTCCACACCTGGAGGACAGAGGGACGGGCTGAGAACAGCCAAGGCCACCTCCCAGGCTGGGAAGGGGACACAAACTGCCCTCACCTCCTGCAGCAGCACCAGGTCGAAGCCCTCCTGGCGCAGCGTGTCCCCGATGAGCCGCACGCGCTGCTGCCGCCGCTTGCTCAGGTAGCGGATGGCCCTGCCACAGAGGGGTGACAGTCAAAGCCTGCTGGGGACAGGGCCAGGGGGCTCTTGGGGACCACTGTGACCCGAAACGAGGGAGAGAAACAGGGCTGCAGTGCCAGCAGAAGCAGAATGCACACAAGAAAGGTGGAAGGACATGGGGACAAGATGCAGGGAGGCTGTTTGGGGACAGCTTCTCCTGCCTGCAGAACTGAGGCAGCTCATCCTTGCTTGGGGTGCAAATAGGGGGTTTTTCTGGGGCTAACAAGCACGGAAGGGACAGGAGGCAATACCCAGCCAAGCACCTCATGACCCTCTGGGGCTGGGAGTGTGGTGTGAGCCCAAAATGAAGGGGACACGAAGGTGACCCCAAGGTGGGATCCCTGGGGTTACGGTGCCCCCATCTCCCCCCACACAGCCTGGGGAAGCCCGGACTCACCAGCAGTTGAGGTTGAAGATCCGGAGGCGCAGGGTGGGCTCTCCCTCCATGGCTTGTCGGGGGTCTGTGGGGGTCAGCGGGCAGTGCCAGGCACAGGGGGCACCTGCGGGGAGCGGGCAGGAGTGGCAGCCCCCAGGAGCCAGGGCAGGCTGCAGGACAGAGCCAAGGAGCCAGGCTGGGAAGGCGGAAGGGCTGAGCCAGGGCAAGGGCCAGGAAGGAAGGAAAAGTGCTCGGGGTACTCCAGGCCATTCACCTCCTTTCCTGCACACAAGGATCACTCCAAACCCTAAAGTGCCCCCGTACAGGGATCCATGTACCCAAACCACCCGTGTCACCCTACACCCAGTGGCTGGGTGGGCCAGGGGTGGGCTACAGGGCTCAACCCCTCTGCCTTTCAGCGAGTTGTGTTCCAGGACGGACTTTTATCCTGGTTTCAAAGTGGGGCTGCGAGGCACGGCCATGGGGCACCGCCACACACCTCCCCATCGGGAAACCCACGGATCCTTTCCAGCCAGCAGCTCCGGAGCAGCCCCAGCTCTCCGCCAGCTCCGCTTCCCCCCTGCCTGACCCCGTGCGATTGTCCCAGTTTCCGGTTTAGGAGCTAAAAAGAGCAGCCCCGGAGCTGCGGGATGCCGGTGCGGGCAGCCAGGCTCTGCCTGCCCCGGCGGGATCATCCCGTTCCTGAGCCGCGCTAATTAACGCTGGCGGCTTCCACCGAGCCTGAGCCCCCGGGGGCGGCCCCAGATCCCCGCGGGACGGCAGCGGGACAGCGGCAACAGGTGGAACGGGGAAACGGGAGAGAGGGGAAACGGGAGAGAGGGGAAACGGGAGAGAGGGGAAACGGAGAGCGGGGAAACGGGAGAGCGGGGAAACGGAGAGCGGGACGGGAGTAGGGGGAGCGGAACAGGAGGAGCGGAGCCGCAGGACGAGCGGGGGCGGCAGCGGGGTAACCGGAGGAGCGGAGCAAAGGGGCGATCGGAACGGCAGGAGCAGCGGGGCCGGGAGCAGCGGAGCAACAGGCGGAGCGGGACCGGGAGCAGCGGGATCGGGAGCAGCAGGGCTGGGGGAAGCGGGACCGGGGGGAGTGAGACCGGGGGAAGCGGAACCGGGAGCAGCGGGGCGCGCAGCGATCGGCGGAGCCGGGAGCAGCGGGACCGGGGGAAGCGGGACCGGGGGAAGCGGGACCTGGAGCAGCGATCGGCGGGGCCGGGAGCGGCGGGCCAGGGGGAAGCGGGGCCGGGAGCGGACCTGCGGCGGGCCGGGAGCGGCGCGGGGCCGCGGGACTACGCGTCCCGGCAGGCAGCGGAGCGGGGCGGAAGGGGCAGGACCGGGACCGGGGCCGGAGCCCGGGGCCGAGGGGGGGTGAATGGGGCCGGGAAGGGCGGGGGGAGCGCGGGCGGGGGGAGCGCGGGCGGGTGTGGTGGGTGTAACGGGGTGTGATGGGTGTAACGGGGCGCGCCGGGGGTGCGGGGGGATAGCGGGGTGCGGGAGGGATGGGACAGCGGGGAAAGCGGGCAGTGGTGGAACGCGTGTGTGTCCCCGAGTGTCCCATGGGCTGTGAGTACCGACACCAGGGGCAGCGCTTGGAGGGGTGGTGGGACACACAACCCCTCTGCCACCCTGTGGACCCCCAAAAGCTGTTCCTGACCCCAGGGAATCCTTTGCCATGGCCAACCCAACTTTTCCCAAGCAAAACCTGCAGTGATGCCAGCTAGAGCAAAACACAGCTGGATGTGCCATCCTGGTACCCAGAATTGGGGTACGCAGCGTTACCCAGCCAAGGGGTTGTATGGGACACGGCAGCTCTCATAGTCCTATGAAATAAAATATGAACTTCAGAACTGCTTGAGCCAACCCATGAACAAATAATTTTAATGTTTTTTGGTTTTTTTTTTTTAGCAGACCGTAGTTTTCTCGGAGCGCCACAGTCTCCTCTCTTTGAAGTGGACAGATACAGTAAACACAACAAATATATGATACAACCCATCACAGCTGGATTAAAAAAAAAATACACAAAAAATATAATACATAAAAAAAATGGATTTTTAACATTGTGGACTGACGCAGCTCTAAAAATGGTGATTGTAACCCTGGTAAGCTTTACAAAGTCTTTAAAAAAATAAAACAGTACTTCATGTGAAATTCATAAATACACTGGAGGCGAACGGAGGGGCTGGGGGAGTTGAGAAAGTGTCTCTGGGATCATGACTAAAGCCCAGCCAGGGCTGCTGGGGGCACCAGTCTGTGTGCGTGGGGTGCAGTGTGAGCCCTGGGCTCGGTGCAGGCAGCAGGGAGGGATGGAGGCACAAACCTGTCCAGTTAACCAAGAGCTTCATCCCCCAGCAGGACTGGGAGTGGGCACGCCTGTGTTTTATGGTGGGGGAAGTTTTGAGTTTTCATTCCCAGAGTTTTAGATCAGTGAGTGAAACAGAAGAAGAAAAGAAAAGAAAAAAAAAAAAAAACCCAAAAACCTACAAAACAACAAACAAACATGCTACATATGAGAACTTGGCCCAGCACGGCCCTGGCATGGTTTGCCAGTGCCTGGCCTTGGATTTTTGCCTCTCTCTTTCCCTCCCTGCTCACAGCAGCCACCTCAGTCCATGGGGCTGGCATGGGGCTGGCATGGCTCTGCCCCGTCCCACAGGGATGGGTGGCTTTTCCCAGCAGCAAGAGGTCCAAGTCCCCATGCTAACAGGACACATGGCATCCAGGCAGCAGCCAAGGCGCTTTCCTGAGCTCTGGGGCTGTTCCTGCTCCTTGCACTGGCAGCATCGAGCCTAAACCTGCCCTGTCCCCCTCCCAAAGCAGCTGCAGTGCCCCTCAAAGCACTCCTGCCCTCCTTCCCACTGCCTTCACTCCCCTGCCAACATGAGAAACCCACCTGGACCTGGCCACCTCAGCTCTCTGTCCCCCTGCCACCCCGCTCCCTGCCACCTCTGTCCCTCTGTCACCCTCCTGCACCCTGAGGTTGCTTTCCCCAGACTCTGCCCTTGCAATCACAGCCTCAGGACTGGGCACTCTGCCTTGGCTTGCAGCCACAAAAACACCTCAGAGCTGGCCCAGTCCCTTATCCTGGCACCCCTCCTGCTCTCTGTCCCCTCTCTGTCCTTTCTGTCCCAAACTCTGCCCACTGACAGCTTGGCCCTGCACTGCTCAATTTGTTTTTCCCTGCACCTCCCTGGCCACTTCCCACAGGATGCAGGGGAGTGGATGGAGCCGATTGGAACAGTGATCGCAGAAAAAAGGCAAAAAAAAGGTGAAAAAAAAAAAAAAAGAACAACCTGAAACAAGGAGAATGTACATATACAAAATAAATCAGGCAATCTGCCCTCACTGCTCTCTACTCCTCAGCAAGTGACCACAGTGGGGACGCTGAGCCTGGGCCAGCCACAAGTGCAATTCCTGAACACAGCACAAGGAATCCCCCACAAATCCCAGCCAGAGAGGGAGGCATCCCAAACCTCTCCCTAAACAAGACACTTCCCATGCAGGGTGGGAGGGCAGCACCTGGGCACTGCAGAGGCACATCAGCCTGATTACAAGCATGGTGTCTTTTTAAAAAGTATTAAAAAGCACTTTCATTTGGGGAAAAAAAAAAAAAAAAAAAAAAGGAGCCATAAACCCCATGGTTTGCATTGTCAATGCCCTCATGCCTTCACTGCCACTGCTCCCAGCTGGGCGTGGAGAAGGAGCATCCCTGGGGGTGGCAGTGTCCCCCTGCTCCACTCTGCCCTGCCCGTCCGTCTGTCCGTCCCCACGTCCCCCGGGCTGTGCCACGCGGTGCCAGTGCCGCTGTCGCTGCCGTGCCAGCCACCATCACCCCTGGCACGGTGCTGCATCTTCCTGAGCGTCCGTGCTCGCTGCTCTCCTCTCCTCTCAGGGCTGGGGCCGCTTCTGAGCGAGGCTGGGCTGAAGGGAGGGTCCTTCTCTGCTCCCACGTCCTGCTGCTGCTGGCACGGTGGGCTCCTGGCCTTCATCAGCAGCACCGAGGGCTGCTCTCTCCCTCTCCAGCTCCAGATGTGGCTTTCCTTTCTCCCTACACTTCCTTTCCCATTCTTCTTTTCGTTTTCTTTTTTTTTTTCTTTCTTTTTTTTTTTTTTTGGTAGTTTTATTTATTTATTTAAAAAAAAAAAAAAAAAGAAACTGTTCCTAAGTAGAAAACACCTGCGATCACAAGTCAGTCTTTTTTGGCTATTGTTGTTGTTCTTCCTCCTCCTCCTGTCTTCAAATGACTTCTCCCAAGGCAACAGGCACAAAGGGTGGCTTTTCTGCAGGGCCCCCTCCCTCCCCTGCACGCCCCTCGTGCCCCTGCCTGTCCCCAAGGGCCCCCCTAGTCCTTGACCAACTTGTACACGTGGTGCTGGGCGCCGTGCTCGCTGGTGGAGACCTCGAAAACGAAGGCAATGCAGAGCAAGGTTTCCTGGGTATCCCTGTTGGTAACAACCTGCAGCAGAGCAGAGTGAGTCAGGGGGGTGCTGTGCCCATGGGCAGGTGCTGTTACCTGTGCCCATGGGCAGGTGCTGTTACCTGGGGGGGTTGCATGGGCTCAGGCACAACCATCTTGCACCATGAGATTCGCTACTCGTTATTTGTGGGGGTCACACAGGCAATTTAATTGCCTCATCAATTATTTTTTTAATTAATTATATTTTTTAAATTACTTTTTTTTTAATTGCACAGCCAATTTAATTGCACCATCAAGATTTACTACCCGGTTTTGGGGACAGGCTCAAGAATAGCGTGAACTGCACCACCAAAGATTTGTTTGGGGGAGGTTGCATTAGCTCAGGCCCAGCCACTGCATTTGCACCATGAAAATTTTGCTCCCTATGATCTGATAGACTTGTCCAGGCTTGGGCACAGCAGCACCAAGATCTGCTGCCCGGAATTCAGGGTCTGTGTGGGGCCAGCAGGGTCAATGCAAGTGCAAGCTCCACACCCCTGGTGGGACACAGCCCCTGGAAAAGGAGGGGAGGTACCTGCAGGATGGTGAAATTCTCCAGGACACTGTTCATCATGTACTTCTCGGGGAGGTGCTTGAGTTTGTGGATGAAGTTGATCATGTACTCGCACATGGGCGAGCGGTGGATGCGGTAGACGAAGCGGCCGTTCTCCAGCCGCGCGTACTCCGTCTGCAGGGGACAGCAGGGTCAGCAGCTGTGCCGTGGCTGCTGCTGGGACATGGCAGTGTCCTCCCCACCCCACCCATAAACATTGGACAGGCCCCCGTGTGTCCTACCCCCAGCTCTGGGATTTTCTCCATCCCAGGACCCGCCCTGGACCAGCTCCGACCCCTTCCCGACGCAGCGGGGCGTGGAACTCACCTCCACCTTCTCCACGACCTGCTTCCCAAAGGAGCACACCTTGGTGGAGACGGTGATGGTCATGTTCTCTGCACTGCTGTACTGGCTGCTCACACCATAGAAGGTCCCTGGCCCGTCCTGGATGGTGCTGTTCAGATCCGCCTGCAGAGAGGAGAGGGACAAAGCTCCCATGAGCTCTCGATGGGGACAAGGGACAGCCACCAGCCTTCAGAGCTGCCCAGGGTGCTCCAGCTCTGTGACCGTGTTCACAGGGGTCTCAGGATGAGGGAAGAGACATGGAGAATGGTGACTCCATGTTTCAGAAAGCTTGATTTATTATTTTATGATATATATTATACTAAAACTATACTAAAAGAATAGAAGCAAGGATTTCTTCTATCAGAAGGAGAATAGGAAAGAATGATAACAAAGGTTTGTGGCTCAGACAGAGAGCTCACTGTGATTGGCCATTAATTAAAAACAACCACATGAGACCAATCACAGATGCACCTGTTGCATTCCACAGCAGCAGATAACCATTGTTCACATTTTGTTCCTGAGGCCCCTCAGGAGGAAAAATCCTAAGGAAAGGATTTTTCATGAAATGTGTCTATGACACAGCTCTGCCACAACGAGCCCGCACCTCGAGCACGACCCTCCCCTCCCACCCTCATCCTCCCAGCAGCATACCCAAAACTTGACGAGGAAGAAGGAGTTCTGGGGCCCGCGCTCATAGAGCTCCTTGAGGCCGCCCTTCTTCTCGGGGAACTTGTCGTAGATCTGGCGGATGTCCACGGCCTCCAGCAGGGGGTCGCTGTACGAGGGGTTCGTCTGGCCGATGTGCACGAAGAGGTGTTTGCTGTACTGTAGGGAGCGGGGTGGGGACAGCAGCAGCACGGGTCAGGCAGGAGGTTTGGGATTTATTATCCGTCACAAGGTCTTTGTGAGGCAAAGTGGGAATTTTCTAGGGTAGAAATCTATTTTGATTTAGGTGAAATGTGCATTTTTGAGTTGAGTCTGCGGTTAGAAAACGTGGCTATTTAGCCTGACTGCAAAACCTAAGCTCAGAGAAACTACTTCAATGAAGGACAAGATAAGGGGGGAAGACAGAGGGTGATAGAGACAGAGAGACTGCTGTGAGAGCAGGTGAATCGACCTAGGAATTCTTTCTGATAAAGAAGAACTAGTGGCAAATGTCACTCGAAATTCATAAAAATGAATATGTATGAACCTATTGTGAAGTTGTATGCATGTGTATCTGAGAAGGGGATAAAAAAGGACCTGAAGTTCCCAGAGGTAGGCATGTCATTTTGAGGGGAACGATTCTGATGTGCATCCAGCACTGTAATAAACACACCGGCTTTACAGCTTTCACAAAAGTTGTGGAGTTTTGATTATCTCCGCAAAACATTTGGGATAGAACTTCTGTCTGTTAGTCCCCACTTTCTACAGTGAAAAATGTGCAGTTTCCTACAGTCTGTAGGTGTTACTGTAATGTGAGTGACCAGTGCTGTGACCTGGGTGGGAATAGCCATTAGTAGTTTTGGGGAAACAGTCTCCCTACTTTCATTGCAAATCAATTTATACAATTCACAGTTTCCTCTAGAAATTACATCTTTTGTACTTTGAAGGCAAGACGACTGAATTCTGCATCTCTCTTGTGTTTATAGGCAAGATCCTTCTAAACTTTGTTTCTTGGTTGTGTCCATGCATAAAATAGAGATGCATGGAGGACATAAAATAAAATACAATCCTCTTGTACCCCCATGTCTTCATTTTTGCAGGGGAAACAGTTATGTCAGTTACTGCATTCAAAGAAAAACAAACAAAAGGCAGCTATCTCCAAATTATTACACTTTGTTCACTCCATCATAGTAAGTTTTTTTTCTAAGAAGCAACTGCAGGGGGATGGAGGGGTGTGATCCCGGGTGGGAGCGGCACACGGAGGGGAGCGTTACCGTTTCGGCATCCCGGGGCACCTCCATGAAGGCGGAGTACTCGAGGAGCCGCAGCTTGGAGGAGGCGATGGTGCGGTCCTGCCAGACCGGCACGGCCGAGGCAGCTGGCGGGAGCGGAGCCAGGGGCTCGTAACCTGAGCCAGGGGGAGGGACACGGGGTGGAGGGGCAGCCGGGAACGGGGTGAGCCCCCCCCTGCAATGCTGCTGCATCCCCCCCTCCTCCCATATCCACCTGAGCCCTCCCTGCAATGCTGCTGCATCCCCACCTCCCATATCCATCTCCCACCCAGCACAAGATGGATAAAACATGGGGGTGAGCCCCCCCTGCAATGCTGCTGTACCCCCCCCCACTCCCCATATCTACCTGAGCCCCTCCTGCAATGCTGCTGCATCCCACACCTCCCATATCCACCTGAGCCCCCCCTGCAATGCTGCTGCATCCCCCCCACCTCCCATATCCACCTGAGCCCCCCCTGCAATGCTGCTGCATCCCACACCTCCCATATCCACCTGAGCCCTCCCTGCAATGCTGCTGCATCCCCCCCACCTCCCATATCCACCTGAGCCCTCCCTGCCATGCTGCTGCATCCCCCACCTCCCATATCCACCTGAGCCCCCCCTGCAATGCTGCTGCATCCCCACCTCCCATATCCATCTCCCACCCAGCACAAGATGGATAAAACATGGGGGTGAGCCCCCCCTGCAATGCTGCTGCATCCCCACCTCCCATATCCATATCCCACAGGGTGGATAAAACATGGGGCTGAGCCCCTCCTGCAATGCTCCTGTCCCCACTGCATCCCCCACCTCCCATATCCACCTGAGCCCCCCCGCCATGCTGCTGCATCCCCCATCTCCCATATCCACATCCCACCCAGCACAGAGTGGATAAAACACGGGGGTGAGCCCCCCCTGCAATGCTCCTGTCCCCACTGCATCCCCACCTCCCATATCCAGTCCCACCCAGCACAGAGTGGATAAAACAAGGGCTGTACTGGGTGGGAAGGGACTGGAGGGTCCTGCTCACTGAGGAGCTTTTTGCTGGATTTCAAGCCAGGCTTTTCCCCCAGTAGAGACGGGGAGGAGACACAGGTGGGTGGCACCGTGCATGGGAGGGGACAATCTCTGTCAGGGACCCTGGGTTCCCTCCAAGGGGGTGAGGACGTGACTTACTGGCTAGTGATGGAGGCATGGGTGGCTGGATGGGGTAAGCTGGTTGTGCAAACGGTTTAATGCTGGAAAGGAAAAAGCATCATCAGGTTACCAGGATGCCCCAGCCCCTTGCCAAGGTGGGGTCCTGCTGGTGCCGGGTGTGGAGGGGTCTGTACTTACTCCTGAGAGGGTCCAGGCTGTCCTGGGATAGGCCCACTCCAAAACTGGGAAAACAGCACAGGGAAGAGTCAGCGGCTTCTGATGCTCCCACTCCCAACATTTCCCTCCTCACCTGCTGCCAACAGCAGGGAGCCCTGCATTGCCACCAGGGCTGAGAACGGCTGTTGAACACCCCCTGCCCAGCCCATGGTGTCCCCCCACCCCTGAGGGTCCCCTTGGGGGGGTTTGGGGCTGTGCTCACCCTGGGGGCAGCAGAGAAGACGGCCTGAGGAAGAGGAGGAGGGGGGCTGAGCTTGTTCTGCAGGACGCTGGCAGACACGATCTGTGCTGAGGACATGGAAGCCATGCTCTGCAGAGCCTTGTCCTTGGAGACCTGGTCCTGAGGGGAAAAGGGGGACAGGGGGGAGTGGGGTTACAGGGGCAGAATGAGCTCCCCCATCTCAGCGTGCCTGACGGGTTTGTAAAGGCAGCAGCCAATCCCACCGCCCACCCTGGGACCCTGCAGAGGGATCCCCCCACCCCATCTCAAACATTAATTAACATCTGAAGCTGGGCAAAAGCTGATGGGTCTGGAAAATGCCCCCTCCCTCCTTAGGGATGCAAAGGGTTTTTAGCCCCTCCACTGGAGAGGGCATAATGCAATGGGGAACAAAAGGAATTTCAGACTCAAGCTCAACTTACCAAGTTCATGGCCTGTCCGCAAAAGAAAGGAAAAAAAAAAGGTTAGAGTGTGATGGGAACCTTTGGGTGCTCTGCACACCTCCCCTAAGTGGGTGCTGCTGTCAGCTGGGGCAGAGTTCATTTTCTCCACAGCACAGGCATGGGGTGGCTGTGAAGAGAATTAACTCTACCTGAATTAACTCTAGAGAGAATTAACTCTACAGCTGAAACCAGCGCACTGGGTCACCACCACCCCGACCCTGGCTCATCACCCAGCCTGACCAGGGGATGCCCATGGTGGGCACTGAAGCCCAGGCTCAATCCCACCAGGAATGGGATGCCAAGGACCCCCGCCCACTCTTTGAAGAGGTCACTGCGCCTTTCTCGGCTTTTTAATATCCTGCACAGCCTCCTCAGAAGCCCCCAGTGCTGGGGCATGGAGAGGAAAAGCTGCTGGGATGCCCTGGGATGTGGGCACCAACTCCCCCACTCCAGGCACTGCAAGGAAAACCCTGAGCTCACCCCCTGAGCCGTGTGTGCACTGACAGAGGAGACCAATTGCTTTTCCTTTTGCCCCAAAAGTCCCAGCAGTGCTGGGCAGGAGCTCCAGGGCTCCTCCAGCTGCATCGCTGGGACACGTCCATGCTGGTCCCAGAGCACACCCTCTGCTTTGCCTCTGAACCCTCCCCAGGGATCAATGCTTCATTTATTTTCACCTGGGGCAGGGCAGGAGGGCGGGCGTGCAGCCACATGCCGGGAGCACGAACACACACCTGACTGCAGCTCAAAAACACAATACAGGTACTGCTCATGATGGCAGCTCAAAAATACAGACACAGATGCTGCTCTGATTGCAGCTCAAAAATACAGATACTGCTCTGACTGCAGCTCAAAAATACAGATACTGCTCTGATTGCAGCTCAAAAATACAGATACTGCTCATGGCTGCAGCTCAAAAATACAGATACTGCTCATGGAAGTGTCTTCATCCCGCAGGACAGGGGTCACCCCACAGTGCTGTCTGAGGGCAGGGGGCTGCCTGCACTGATCTTGAGAAGGGATGTTCTGTATCCTCCAAGTATGGTTCAGGGGGATCCCTGCCCTGCTGCTCCACGGCAGAATCCTTCAGACAGCATGGCTGGGGATGGAGAGCACAGCCATGGAGCCCTGGGGTCACTCCTGCCTCCAACTTCCCCTTGCTCTGCACTGTGCCATGTGGCAAGGAAAGATTTTATTTTATTTTATTTTATTTTATTTTATTTTATTTCATTTCATTTCATTTTATTTTATTCTTCCGCTGCTGTTGACCCTGCTGCCCCTCTTACTTCCCTGACTGCCCCTCTTGGGGCTGGAGACTGGGTTTAAGGCATCCAAGCCCAAAGGTGCATCCCAAAATAAGTTCCAGATGCTCTCCCTGGTTTCTCCTGGCAGACCAAACCCTGGTCTGGCTCCTGGCATCCCTCTCATGGGGCACTGGGATCCCTGCTGAAGGATTTTGGGGGGCACACCTTGGTGGGCTCCCAGGCAGCAGGAGCTGGAGTTTATTAAAGCTTTGAGGATGAAAATGCTCCAGCTCTGGCAGTGGTGATGGTGGGCTGCACTGCCAGCCTCAGTGCTGGAGATGGACACAGCACCCAGGACAGGGGGGGCTGCTGATGCCTTTGGGACCTCAAAGATTTCCTGGGCTCCCACTCACACAGCAAGGCAGCAAATCACCCCTGGGGCTCCCCAAGGAGCTGAGATTAACTGAGGCACACAGCAGGAGCTGGCTGTCCCCAGAGGGTGGCTGTGCTCTGCGGACCCTTCTGTCCCCACCCTGGCACCATGTGGGTCCAACCCAAGCAGGGCTTGGTCCTTTGGTGATGCCCTCAGTCCTGGCCATGCCCCCCCATCATCCTCACCCTCCCCACTGCCACCACAAAGTCTGGTGGGAACAGTTATGGAAAGGTTAGTTGGGCTCCAGTTAGGAGGAAGGAAAGAAGGAAGGAAGGAAAGAAAAGCCAACCAGAAAAGAGAGAGAGAATGATCCATTTTTTTCTCACTTGGCTCCCTTGGCTCCTGGCACTGTCCCCAGCTGGACCTGCTGCCACTGACATCCCTGTGGTGCCCCTGGCAGTGCTCACACCCTGGAGCATCACAAACCACTGGGCTGGCACCTGCAGGGACCCCTCTGCTTCTGCCCACATCCCACCAGCACCTGCTCTGAGCTGGCTCAGGCTCAGCTGTGCAGGGAATTGAGCCTTGGCACACCTTGCTTGAGCCTCACTTTGCCTCACTGCCTGCCCTGGGGGGCTCTTCTCCTTGTGGGAGAACCCCCGATGGCCCAAAAGAGAGGACAGCGCTCCCACATCACCAGAGGAGGGTTTAAACCCACATCTCCCCCTGGCAGAGTCCTTGCCTGGATGCAAAGAGGGGATCTGGCACCACATTCACCCTCCTGGAGGAACGAGCAGGGCTCTGCTGCCCCTCCTTGCACTTCTCCCTGGGCATCCCACAACGACGCCTGTAAAAAACCATCTGACCCAAGGAGCCAAGTGAGGGGGAAGGAAAAAAACCACCAAAAACAGGAGAGGTAAAACAGGAAAGCAAGCGGCACACGGCAGAGCCCAGTGCGTTAGTGGGGGCCAGGCGAGGCAGGGCGTACCTTCAGCTTGGACTGAATCTCACGAGATTTCCGTCGGGCAAGAACCTGCAAGTGGCTAGAGACCTGCAGAGAGAGAGCAGAAGGAGAGGGGGAACAGCAGAGCCGTCAACCAGAGGAAAGGAGGAGGAAGGAGAGGGGCTGCCCATGCTCACAGAGACACCGCCGCGGACACCTGGGCAAGGGCGCCAACGTACCTTGATGCCAACCTGGTACTCCCGCACCTTCTTCCGAGCTAGAACCTGTATGTGGCTGGACACCTAGGGGCCCAACACGCCGTTCAAAAGGAAAACACAGAGAGAGTGAAGATCCTGCAGGGCAGGCTCTGTCCCCGGGGCAGGGAGTGCAGGAGTGGGCAGCGCCGAGGCTGCTCCTGAGGTGCCAAGAGCTGCAGGAAGGAAAGTGCTGGGGCACCCTGGTTGATGCTGGTTTGTGCCCACCCCAGGCTGGGGTGGAGCTCCTTGGTGTAAAGCTGCTGCAGTTGAGGGGGGTCCCCATTTAGCACCTCTTGGGGACGGACAGACAGACAGACCCTGCCAGCACCTGGCAGGTTTGAGGTGCCCCAGGTGCCTGTGGGTCCAGGAGGGACTGGCACATTGCCCCCAGGGCTCCTGCTGGTTTTGCATGTGGGAAAGGTGACAAAGTTGGGTTTTTGTGTCCAGGCCCCTGTAAGAGCAAGATCTAAAGGAAAGGGGCTGATGTCCAGGCAGTAAAGGCACAGCATGGCTGGGGGCCATCCACAGGAAGGGTGGGTGTCCATGCACCCATAGAGTTTCAGGGCTGATTTTGGCAAAAACCTGCTCCCATCAGTGCCAGGCTGTCCAAGAGGAGACACCAGGCTGCCCAGGAGATGCCTGCACTGAGGGATCAGTGCTGTCTGTGGGTGCTCTCTCCCATGGCTTTCCCAAATCCCTCCAGAGCACTGCATCCTTCCCCCATGGAGGGGGGGCCCAGTTCAGTGTTTAATTCAGAAATGAAGTGCTGCTTGGCACTGCTCTGAACACAAAACCAGTGGCCAGACCCTGGTCCCTCTCCTTTCAGCACAAGTCCTGGAGAAATTACTTCTGCAGTGTCTGGGGACCAGCATCCCTCTCCTGTGGGGACTTGTGTCATGGGACAGTCCCAGAATAAGTGTCCCAAACCCAACCATCTCCCTGTGGTGGGGGATGCTCCCAAGCATCCAAGGCCGTGGGCTCTGCCGGGACGGGTGGACTGGTTTCTGATTCCTCAGACAGGTTTGGTGAAGCAAGGGCTTGCAGGAACCTCTGTGTGCTCCCGCAGGGATCTCTGTGTGCTCCTGCAGGGACCTCTGTGTGCTCCTGCCCTGCCCACATCCCTGCCTGCCCCAGCATCCAGTCAGGCAGGGCAGTGACAGCAGAGCAAGGGCTCCACGGTACCTCCAGCCCCACCAGGACCAGCAGCACAGCCTCACACAGCCCACCCCTGGATCCCTGGCTGGCATGGGGGTGCCATGCTCTCAGCCCATGGGGTTTGCAGTGCCTTTGCTGTGGCACAAGTGGCATAAAGCCTGGCAAGGGGCAGAGACAGGGACGGTCCCCAGACCCATGCAGGCACACACAGACACACACAGACACTGTCCATAGAGAGTCTGGGGGTTCCTGCCATCCACAGGGTCACCCCAAAGAGGTGGAGGGCCCGGGTGCTGCCTGCTCCCCATTTCAAGGCACCCTGGGGCTGAGGAAATCCCAAGGGTTTTGTGCTCACAGATGAAGGAAGCTCCTTGCAGAGGATGGGGAACCTGCTGGCAGCAGCAGTGGCTGGATGAGGGGACACAGATGACAGCGGGACATCGGCTCCCCCTGGGCTTACCTGGCACCGCCTCCCACCCTGGCCCGAGCCCACCCCAGGAGAAAACAGCAGAGCAACGCCTCACCTGCTTCCTCGTCCGTGTCTTCCCCGTTCGCAGCTTGATGTAGCGGGCGATCAGCTCGTTACGACCTGCGGGCAGAGCCGGGGGTCAGCCCTGGCACTCGAGGGTCTCAGGGTCCCAGCCCCGGATCCCCGCGGGGTCCCAGCCCCGGCACTCGGGGGTCTCAGCCCGGCATAGGGGGGTCCCAAACCGGGCACTCGGGGAGGTCTTAGCCCCTGATCCCCGCGGGGTCTCATCCCCGCACTTGGGGGGTTTCAGCCTTGGCACTCGGGGGGCATCATTCCCAGACCCAGCGGGGTCTCAGCCCCGGCACTCGGGGGAGCTCCGCCCTGGCACTGGGCGGGGGTCTCAGCCCTGGTACTCGGGGGTCCCCAGCCCCGGCACTCGGGGTACCAACCCGGGAACTCAGGGGGTCCCAGCCCCGGCATAGGGGGGGTCCCAGCCCCGGCACTCGGGGTACCAACCCGGGAACTCAGGGGGTCCCAGCCCCGGCATAGGGGGGGTCCCAGCCCCGGCACTCTGGGTACCAACCCGGGAACTCGGGGGGTCCCAGCCCCGGCCCCCCAGCCTGGCGAGGGAGGCGCTGCCAGGAGGTGGCGCTGCCGCGACAGCGTCGGGGCGACCTCGGGGACCCGGGGGTGGCCACGCCGGGCCAGGACACCCCAAATCCCCGGTTCCTGCCCATCCCCGGGCTCAGAGCGGGGTGACAGCCCCCAGGGGCCCCCGCACAAACCCCAGGGCAGCCCCAGCAGAGCCCATCCCGGCACGGGGTCCCGGGCTGTCCCCCCAGCCCGGCATCCCCCTTCCCGTTCCCAAGGCGTGCTGGCCTTTCCGCCAGTATTTCCTAACGTCCCGGGCTAATTCGAAGCAGAAGTTGCTTTTGCGCCACATTTCAGGGGCCAGCTGTGGCCAATCTCCGCTCGAACGTCAGAGCAGCTGGGAGCTTTCTTCTCCCGGCCCCGGCCCCCCCGGCCCCGCCGCCGCCCCCCCGGCACGGGGGCAGCCAGGCACGCCAGATTTATTTTAATGGACCAGATGGTCGCGGTTGGAACTTGTCGAAATGCCCTTGGAGCGGGTTTCGGCTTTAAAAGAATAAAAAAAAAATCCCTTAAAGAAAAAAAAAAAATCCAAACCCACCCCCCCACTTCTTCTTCCAGCCCGATTGGCCCCCTCCCAGCCCCACAGCAACTGGGCCCTGCTGGGGGGACACACACATGGGGACAGACAGGGCCAGGTGGCACGCAGAGACAGCTGCCCCTTCCTTGCCAGGCAGGAGCTGGTGGGTGGGTGGGTGACAAAGGGGGTACCCCTGGCACGGCCGGCATGGCACCCTGGTGTCACCCTGAGGCACAGCTCCCACCCTCCTGGCTCCCTCCTTGGGACCCAGCAGGGGCCAGGTGTGCAAGGGTGTCCTTTAAACCCAGGTGAGGTGACACCCCCTGCTGCTGAGCCCCACTTTGGGGTACACCTTCAAACCCCCCCCCTTTGCATGCCCTGCTCTTAAATCCCATCCTCTGCCCCCCATATCCTGAAACATGGGGAAAAAAATAGAGGAAAGAAATGTGGGGCCTTTGTGGACTCAGTGCCAGCCCTGGTGCCCAGCATCTCCTGCACCCATCCTGCCACACACCGTGCCCAAGGCTGCGCCCTCGCAGCCATCCCCGTGCCCACGTGCCCTGTCCCTTGTCCCTCTCCCTGTGAATCATCTGGACCGTGCCATTCCCTCCGAGAGGGCACGTCCTCCTCCAAATTACCACATTCCCCAAATTCCTCTCCCCTGACACCACCACATGAACCAGTTGGACAGGCTGGGTTAAAAATAACCTGAGTGTGTAGCAAGGCCCAGTGTGCCCGTGCTGGGTCCTGGCTCCCCAGCTCCCACCTTGCTTTGCCACCCCCGCGGTGCCCAAGGGTGATATCCCCACTGGCACCACCCTGGGCACCCACGGAACCCCCAAAATGAGGGGTGTGAAGGACAGCAGAGGCACTGGCACACCATTGTGCCACATGCTGGCACTGCCTCTGCTGCCAGTGCCCCTTGGTAATGCCAGCCAGGGGTCCTGGGGGTCCCAGTGGGGAGGTGCTGGGGAAGGTGGGGGGGAGATGAAAGGCGGGCAGGGGCTGCTGCCTCTTTAAGCAGCTGCCAGATGTCTCTGAAAGGCTGGAAAAACCGGTTGGGGCGTGCTTCGAAGGGCCAGGCTCCCGGCGGCACTTCAGCTATTCCCAGAGAAATCCAAAAAATGCATAGGCTTGGGAAGCCCTGTGCTCCCCCGCCTCCTCCTCCTCCTCACCCCGCTCCCCCAGCAGCCCCCATGCCCTGGGTGGGGGCACTGGCAGACGGGGTGGCACAGGGAGCTGGCACGGCTGTGGGGACAGTGGCACAGTGCACCTCAGCAAGCCTTTGTCCCTCTCTAGTGGCACTGGGGGAGGCACTGCTGTGACACCAGCATCTGGGCAGGTGAATTTTGGGGATAGAGATGCCAGCTCTGCTCTGTTGTCACCATGTCAATGTGGCAGCCTGCTCCTGGCTTTGAGGTCACTGGGCTTGGGGGTGACATCATGGGATGTGCAGGGCAGGAGGGACCAGTCCCTCCCCTGGTAGGGACAGGGAGTTTGGGAAGACACCAAAAACGAGGCCGACACTCCAAAATCATCCCCAAGTAGGGCTGAGCAACGAAATCACCAAAAGCTGAGCTGGGTGGCTCAGGAGGGTGAGTGACCCTTGCCACAGGGTGCTCTGGCCACCAGGGCCGGTTGGGGAAGGTTTGGGGAGCTGTGTGGAGGCACAGGGGAGCAGGAGGGCTGGGGCTGCCCCGGTCCCGCAGTCCCGTGCCCGCTCCCTGCCCCACGGCCTCACCAAACCAGTCAGTCCGGCAGGGCCGAGAGAGGGAGGGAGCGGGAGGGAGGGACACAGGTCACCGGGAGGGAGGGACACAGGGAGGGACACAGGTCACCGGCACCTCCCAGCCCAGCCCAGCCCCAGCAGGAACCCCAGCCAGCTGCTTTGGGGCTCGGGGGATGCTCCAGGGTGATACCCAGCGTGGGTTGGGGGCAGGAGGTTTCTCAGTTCAGCCTCCACCCCCGCCCCAGCACTCACCGTACATCTTGCCCTCGTCGGAGAGGATGATTTTCCTCCGGCCGCAGGGTGGGTAGATCGCCAGCGCCTCCTGGAAGCTCTGCTCGATGTCTGGACTCCACACTCCCTCGGCATCATTGTCCAGACTCTTGTCCATGCCGTCCTGGCCATCTTCCCGCCCCTCCCCAGGGCTGCCGCTGGCGTTCCAGCTGTTGGACGCTATGGTGCTGGCTGCTCTGGGCTCCGACCCTGAGCCCCCACGGATATGGGACAACCTGCTGGGACACGGGGACACCTGTCAGAGCCAGCAACCCCTGCTGGGCCATGGGGTGCAGCGACAGCAGGGTCTGCTCCTGGCTCTGACCCTGTTCTCACTGGCACCCAGAGCCACGTCTCATTGTAGGGAATCAGACACACAAACAGGCTCTCCTTGGGGGCGCAGCATGATTTCTATGAGTACCCCCAAACCCAAGCCACAAGCGACCACCCAGGATCCACCCAAATAAAGTTTGGGAAGGAAACTGCCCCCAGCTGCTGTATTACCCATACAAGGAACTTGGGCACATGGTGTTTATGGCTGACACCTCGGGACAGGGCGGCAGCAGCCCCACAGCCTGTGAACCCTGCGACCCTGCTCCAGCACCCCCTGCCAAACAGCAGTCTCTTTGGGCAAGCTGGCCCAACAAACACCCCTAGGCCCCAAAATCCCATCTCCACCATGCCTGGCAAAGGCAGGGCTGGGATCTGAAGGGAGATGCTGAGCGGCTCCAAGCCAGACCCCACTAATGGGAACCAGGTGGCCAGAGCCGTCCAGCAGCCCTCCCCTGGTACCAGGAGAGGCCCCCCACCCCGAGGATGCTCAGCTGGGGCCCGGACCCTCCCCAGCTGGTGGGTGATGCTGGGGAGCCTCCAGCCCTCCTCCTCTCCCTCCTGCTGCTGCCCAGCTAGCAGCGCGGCAGCGTTGCAGGGTTTTGCAATAACATGTTTGGCGGCAGCTGCCGGCGGTGGGAGCGCAGAGGTGTCTCCTGCGCCGCCGCGCTTCCCGGACGGGCTGGGAGTGTACAAAGGTCTCCAGCACAGACATCTCCTTTTAAAGGAACTGCTGAGCCCGCTGGCTCAAGTGCCGCTGCGAGGCCTTGCTCGCTGCCTCTTTTTTTTTTTTTTTTTTTTTTCCTTTTATAAAAAAAGAAACTCAGCCCCCCCATCGCTCCTCTCTCCCTCTCCCGCTCGTCGCGATGTGATGTCAGCCCCTCCGGTGCCGTCCCCCCCTCTCGCTGAGCACTGTGGCCAAATAAGGAGAACTGCATTGGAGGGATTGCAGGATGGAGCCAGCCGGCCAAGGCAGGGATGGCGGCAGCGCTGCAGGACGGGGCAGGGGCGCCCTGGCTGTGCCTGCTGCTGCTGGCTCCGTGGGGCAGCAATGCAGGGCACCAACCCCGCAGGGTTCTGGGGATGGGAGGGATGGAGAGGGTGGCACAGGGGGACAGGCCCAGGGGGGATCCTCAATCCCCCATACAGCCCAGAGCATCAGGGCTCTGTCCCAGCGGGGTGTGACTGTCCTGGTGCTGAGCCCTGGCTGATTCCCAGGACCCCCAGACATGGGGGAACCTGAGATTCCTCAGCTTCTGCAGCAGCCCCCAAAGGCCTCAGTGACCCCACAGCAGCCCCATGGAAAACCCAGACCCCTCAGCACTGTGGCAGCTCAGTGCCCCCAGTGCCAATCTCAGCGCCAGGGACTCTGCAGGCCGGTGCCAGCCCAGGACCCAGCAGCACCATCAGCTCAGCCTAACAGAGGAAATTCCCAAGAGCTGGTGCCGCAGAGTGACTTTACAGGGACTCAGCAGACCCCTGCCATCCCCGCTGATGGGTGTTTTGGGGGCCAAGGGAAAAGCCACAGGACAGAGAGCAAAGCCACCAGGGGCTGGCTGCACCCCGGCAGGCAGCGTGCCCAGTGCCCCGGGTCACGGCGCCAGGCACTGCCTGCCCAGGCAGGGTGACAGCTGACCCCACACCCTGCCCGTGTCACCCGTGTCCCCATCCCCTGGCGGTCCCCAGCCCCTGCAGCAGGGAAATCCCAGCCCAGCCTTTTCAGGGAAGCTGGGACAAGAGGGAGGGTGATGCTGGGGCCCCGGCCAAGGTGCGAGGAAGCAGCTCCTCCTCCTTCTCCTCCTCCTCCTCCTCCACCGAACCTGCTTTTGGGCAGCCATTGGAAGCCATTGGATTTCCTGGAGGGAGGGTGCATGCACCGCGCTGACGCAAGGCACGGCTCCACCCTGCCCTTACAAAACACCAACAACAGCAGCAATTAGGGAACCGGCACGGCTGGACGGCCCGCGGAGAGCGCGGCCAGACCTGCTCGGCACGGGCAAAACGGGGACCGGACCGGCCAGAAAATAATGGCACCGGCTGCTGGCTGCCGCAGGGAGAGGGCAGGGAGACCACCCCTGCCAGGGCACGGGCATCTCTGCAGGGTTTGGGCATCCCAGAGACCACTCACCCATGGCACGGGCATCTCTGCAGGGTTTGGGCATCCCAGAGACCATCCCTCACATGGCAGGAGCATCTCTGCAGGGTTTGAGCATCCCAAAGACCACCCTTCCCATGGTACGGGCATCTCTGCAGGGTTTGGGCATCCCAGAGACCCCCCCACTCCCATGGCAGGATCATCTCTGCAGGGTTTGGGCATCCTAGAGATCCCAGAGACCAACCCTCCCATGGCATGGGCATCTCTGCAGGGTTTGGGCACCCCAGGACCACTGACCCACATCCGAGGGGATGTTTGCCCGCTCTGAGGATGCCCATCACTCCTAAGTGGGGCACCCAGCCCAGGGGGTGCCCCCACTGCCAGATCACTCAGTTCCAATTCACTCCCTGAATTTGTGGGCCTGTCCCTTATCTCCCTGCCAGGTCAAGGCTGCCCAGGAGCCTGGGACGGTGTTCCCACAGCTCCCAGCACCAGGGGCAGGGGATGTGAGGAGGCAAACCTGGGGCCTGAGCAGGCAGTGGGGCTGCAGGCCCTGCTGGGAGAGCTGCTTGGGGCTGGGGACCCTGCTAGAGCTACAGGAAACCTCCTTAAACCCTGCAAAAGCAACGAGGGAAGGGCACCTGAGAAATGGGGGTTTTGTGGTGGGCAAGGGAAGGAAATACTCTGGAGGCAGTGTCTGCAGTCAGAGAAGCACCGTGGGCACCCTGAGTGCCAAAAGGCAGGAGCAAGGTGCTGCTGGATCCAGCACAACCAGCTGAGATAGGGATCGGGTCAGGGACGTGCAGGGTGGCACAGGGGAGAGCACCCGGGGCTGGGCACGGGACATTGTGACACGGGCACAGGTGCCCGTCGCTCCCACAGTGCCCCCATGCACCCAGACCTCACCAGGCCGGGGACAGCACGTTCCTCTGCCCCAAAAGCACCATCCCACCTGGTGCACCGTGGGGCACACCCCCTTGGAGCAGCCCTTGCACTGCCCCAAACCCTGGTGTGCTGCCCAAACTGGGACAGGGGTGGTGGTGGCTGCTGCCACAGCTTCTCCCCAAACCACCTGGATGGAGGGCACGGTCAGGGGATTGCAGCACAGCACAAAGAGGGACAAGGTGTGGGGCAGAGCAGCCCCAAGGAGCCCTTCTTACCTGTGGGGCTGCCCAGGTGCCAGGGGACATTGGGGACATTGGGACAAAAAGGCTCTGCAAAGGGGACACTGAGGAGGCAAAGAACCCTGCAAAGACACGGAGGGGGGTCCAGCTGCATCCTGGATCCATCCTGCCTCCATCCTGGATCCATCCTGGATCCATCCTGCCTCCATCCTGCCTCCATCCTGCCTCCATCCTGCCCCCATCCTGCCTCCATCCTGCCTCCATCCTGCCCCCATCCTGCCTCCATCCTGCCTCCATCCTGCCTCCATCCTGCCCCCATCCTGCCCCCATCCTGCCCCCATCCTGCCTCCATCCTGGATCCATCCTGCCTCCATCCTGCCCCCATCCTGCCCCCATCCTGCCTCCATCCTGCCTCCATCCTGGATCCATCCTGCCTCCATCCTGCCTCCATCCTGGATCCATCCTGCCTCCATCCTGGATCCATCCTGGATCCATCCTGCCTCCATCCTACCTCCATCCTGCCCCCATCCTGCCCCCATCCTGCCCCCATCCTGCCCCCATCCTGCCTCTATCCTGGATCCATCCTGCCCCCATCCTGCCCCCATCCTGCCTCTATCCTGCCTCCATCCTGCCTCCCCATGCAGGGGCCCAGGGCAATCCAGCCCTTCTCCCTCCCCCTGCACACAGACCCCAAAGGCAAAAGGATAAAAGTTCAAGACAAGCCCAGGCAGGATCAGCACGGAGCAGCTCAGCCCTGCCCCAGCCCAGTGCCCCTGCACCAGCCCTGTGGGGGACACGAGGCTGCTGTCACCCCTCCCTGTCACTGTCACTGATGACACCCACACTCTGCAGGTGAGGGGGACACGAGCCCCCATCCTCCCTGGCGCTGAGCCCCCAAAGCTGGGGCTCTAGGGCACCCCAGCTCCTCCTGTGCTGGCACACTGGGCTCAGCGAGGGCACAGCTGGCACTGAGCTGTGGGCAGGCAGAGGGTTTCACCAACAAACCCCTCATTTCAGGCAGGGCAGCTCTGGCTGGGGGCCGTGTCCCTGCTCCTGCCTCTCCCCACCTGGTGACACGGCCAGCAGGAATGCTGCCCACACGGTCACAGCCCTGTAGAGCCCCTGGAAGGAAACCCAAAAGCTGTGGAGCTCCTGGGGGACGCCAGCAAGACCACAGCACCCCAGAGAAGATGCAGTGCACAGAGCAGGATGCTCTTGGCTCTGCCAGGACGACCCAGGATGCTCCTGGCTGTGCCAGGATGACCCCGCAGCTCCTGGCTGTGCCAGGATGACCCTGCAGCTCTTCACAGGAGCCCCACACCCCTGGCACCGTGCCCAGGGACCCTTTGGGAACACCCTGGTGCCCCATTCCTGCAGGGGAACGCCACCCTGGCTGGCACACGGCCGTGCCAGGGACGGCCAGAGCTCACCGGGGCGGGTGAGAGGGCGGCGAGAGGAGGTTTGTTTACATCGTGCTCCTCTTCCAAACAGCTCCCAGGCTGTGCTGAGGGATTCCCTGGCTCGGGGAGGGAATGGTGGCCACCCTGCTCTCTCCCACCCAGGTCTGCACTCCCTGACTGGCCA